AGGAAGGGAAGGTTCGTGGAGAGAAAATATAAACTGTGAGGGATAGGAGGAGAGAATTGAGAAGGGAAGGAAGGGAATGTTAGTCGAGAGAAAATATAAAGTGAGAGGGATAGGAGGAGAGAATTGAGAAGGGAAGGAAGGGAAGGTTAGTGGAGAGAAAATATAAACTGTGAGGGATAGGAGGAGAGAATTAAGAAGGGAAGGAAGGGAAGGTTCGTGGAGAGAAATCGGTTACCTGGTACATCATAGCTGTAGTCTCCATAGTATAGATCGTAATAGTAATCACTGTACTCCAGGAGTAGTGGATCTTTTCCATCCTGCTGAAGCCAGGCAGGAGGAACCTGGACCCAGAGAACCAGAACCAGGAACAGAAACATTCTTAGTTCCCTCAGCTCTACTCACATCCTAGATATAGGTTTAATATAAAGTCTATCTTTACTCATTTTATAGATATAGGTCTTGCTATATTTTCTTATATCCTATTTATATATAGATTTAATAACATGTCTAGTAAGGTTTACTAAAATCCTTCAGAAGTATAGGTTTAATATCAGGTTATCAGGTTTAGGTGCGCTCACATCCTAGATGCAGTCTTAATATTAGTATTAAATATTAGGTCTAGCTTGTACAGCTCAAATCCTTCAGATAAATAGGTTTAGCACTAATCCTATCTTTTATATGTAGAACAAATAATATTAGGTAAATATTTTTTATCTATCTGTAAATAAACAGTTCTTAGTTCTTAGCGAAAGTTTTCAGGCAAAGTTGGGTTCCCAAACTAGTATTTATGTAGAGTTTTAAGCTTTGAATTTCATTTTCCAAGCTACACGTAATTCTTTACATGTTTAAATATGCATATGCAGTTTAGAATTTTAGAGTTTTTGGAACAGTGTACAATGTCAATGCTATAATGCATATGTGAACTCAGACACCAAGTATATACTTACATACATATATGCTGGGGAAGTAAACCAGACAGTATTAGTGATGTTAAAAAATAGTTTTTATTTTATTCATGTTTATATTGAAAAATATTTATCTTATTCCAAGATTTTTGCAAGATCTTCAGATAATGGAAAGAGATATAACGAAAAACTATCTTGACAAAAAAAGACTTAGTAAAATCTCCTCAAGCGTTGGAAACCCTAATTGCAATGCTTATAGGATCCGTTTTTAAAATTAAAATGGAGGTGCGTGAATGATATCACACCAGTCAAAGAAGATTTAAATATATTTCTCATTTTTCATAATTAAAAAGTGTTGATGCAGGATTTGTTTAGAAACCAAATTTCAGGTTTTTCACTCACCCCTATGCATATTTTTGTATCCTGATTTGATAATGAATAAACATTAATGCATTAAAATAATATTAATATATTTGATTCAAGTTCATATTATAGGAAATAGGGAAAACTAAATGTTTACTGAATCCTAACCATTTTCTCACGGTTCTCAGTTATCAAACCAGTCCTGATTAAACATCTATCTATCTATCTAAATATCCTGATTAAAATCTATCTATCTATCTAAATATCCTGATTGAACATCTATCTATCTATCTAAATATCCTGATTAAACCCGTTTCTATAATCTATCTATCTAAATATCCTGATTAAACATCTATCTATCTATCAAAATGTCCTGATTAAACATCTATCTTTCTATCTAAATATCCTGATTAAACATCTATCTATCTATCTAAATATCCCAATTAAACATCTATCTATGTATCTAAATATCCTGATTAAACATCTATCTATCTATCTAAATGTCCTGATTTAACATCTACCTATCTATTTAAATATCCTGATTAAACATCTATCTATCTATCTAAATATCCTGATTAAACATCTATCTATCTATCTAAATATCCTAATTAAACATCTATCTATCTAAATATCCTGATTAAACCTGTATCTATTTTCTATCTATTTAGATCGGAACTTGTGTGTAGATATCGTTAATCTTTAATGTTCGATCTCAATATCCAATGTGGTCACTAGATTCGAGGATCAAAGCTTGATCCCTTAATTAAAGTTATGACATTAAGTTATCCCTGCAGGGTATGATTATCACAGAATGTTAAAGAGGAATTAAATTATTCCGTAGATCTGCAAAAGACATGGAGATCAAGGCTTCAAAAGTTCTAACTTCTGGGTTATCCTTATCAATCTATGACATGTATGGTTTAAACCTCGAAAATCCTAGAGACTTTTCTAAAATAATTAAAACATCAGTTTTCAGGCTTAACCCATGAGTAATTGGTACACACAACATTAACCCATGAGTAATTGGTACACACAACATTAACCCATTAGTAATTGGTACACACAACATTAACCCATGAGTAATTGGTACACCCAACATTAACCCATTAGTAATTGGTACACACAACATTAACCCATGAGTAATTGGTACACACAACATTAACCCATTAGTAATTGGTACACACAACATTAACCCATTAGTAAATGGTACACCCAACATTAACCCATTAGTAAATGGTACACCCAAAATTAACCCATTAGTAATTGGTACACACAACATTAACCCATGTGTAATTGGTACACACAACATTAACATCATTTCCATGTACTCTCCCTTAAAGGAATTGCTTTCCTTTTGAAAATACATTATAAGAGTTTTCATAATGATTTGATATTTATCAAATAAAAAAAACGGAAAATATAAAATCCATGATTATCTTGACATTAAGCGTCGTTAAATAAATATTTTAAAAACTGGAATAGTAAGTGTTATATAAACAATTTCGAACATTTTAGATTTTTCAAAACATCACACATTAAGGAATTGAGTTTTTGCCATTAACTCAAATTTTCTTATCCCTATATCTTTGCAACCTGATGGTGTAAACCTTTGTTATTTCAAACTTACATTTTTTTATCTAACATAATTCATAGTTGAAAATATTTAAAGTCTACGACATTGTGTTGCAGGTTACTGTGATCATAATTGTATGGAATAAAATGTGATAAAATAAAATGCATATTGCACATTTACATCTACTCCAAGCTGGAGATGATTTAATAATAATCTAAAATCAACCAAAATTGATTCATTTCTAATTATTTATTCATTAACACCGTCAAAACTATCAACCGTAGATATAATGATAAAATCTCAGAAAACAAATTATATTTAAATTGAATTTACAAGCGTAAATAAAATGTATAAAAGTCAAAAAAAAATTGCAAAAATATGTAAATGCACTTTTAGGACTACTACTAATAGCGAAATAATTGTCGTCCCAGTTCATTATATTCAGATGGATCTTATCCATATGAAGCCGAATATATTTGTTAGGTTTGACGTGGAGTTAAATTGATATATAAAAATACATATATGTATTTAAATATTTGTATAAAAATACATATATGTATGTAAATATTTGTATAAAAATACATATATGTATGTATATATTTGTATTTATTTATCATATCTCCTGATGTAGTTAAACTTAAAAGAATACGGTTTAAATTAATATACAGAAAATCAAAAAACTTGACTTTGACTTGATATACCTAATAGTAGTAGTTTGTTCCCCCCGGTGTGAACTAACGTGATGTTCTGCAACCAATTAGGTTGATGTTCTACGATTTATTTAATGATACAGATACTTTCGCGCGTAAAGATGAAAAGGTCGGATTTTGGATAAATTTCAGAATATTTTGTTGATTATTCAAGGTTCAGCAATCCTTCCTTTTCTAGGAGGTTGAGTGTGGTCAGAAGTTAAATAGGATCAACATATATTTACTTGATTTTCTTATCTATTAGTTTTTTAATATAATATCTGGTTGGTTGGGTAATTTTTATGTCTATCTATTTATAAATATCTAGTCTAGGATGAATATCTAGTCTAGGATGAATATCTAGTCTAGGATGAATATCTAGTCTAGGATGAATATCTACTCTAGGATGAATATCTAGTCTAGGATGAATATCTAGTCTAGGATGAATATCTACTCTAGGATGAATATCTAGTCTAGGATGAATATCTACCCGGATCCAAGATGATGCATCGGATAAAAATTCCTTGCGGAACCTGTGAAAGGATTATAAATGCCCCAGAGGTCACCCATCCAACCCAGGATGCTCGTCATGCATGCTTGAACCCTGTGGATAAATATAAGTATGGTGCAATGAACCTCAAGCTACCAAAAATAGTATACCAGTAAATTAATAAATATTGTAAAAGATTATTTTAAAAACTCTGAGTTTCTTTTTAAACCTGGTTTCAATTCGTGACATTATATATGTTACTGGTCGACATATGTTAGGGTTCAAGGTTGGGGAGTAGGATCAGGAGAAGGTTTGATAATATTTTGGTGCTCAGTTATAATTTGGACTTGTTTATCCTGTATAGTTCTAGCTTCAAGGATACACTAGGATTAATTAGCAAATTATCCAACTAATCTCTAAACGTGGACATGTGCGAAGTCTCATGGAGGCAATGTTTCTCTTTGTGGAGGTGGAGATTCAAAACTAGGTTTAAAATTAGAATTCTCTTCCCCCGTGAAACTATCCCTGACAGGCTCCGGATGAAGGTTTGTCTGCTCAGTTATAATACCTCGGAGAAATTTGACAATCTGCGCCTGATTGTTTCTAGGAGACTCCAACGCATCAAGAATTACCCTTGCGGCAGAGATCTCTGAGTGAACCAGGCGCTGCAGCCGGACATTGAGAGGTTCAAGACTAGGAGCAGGGTTGGTCTCTACTACAGGGACGAGTGGTGGAGGAGGAGGAGGAGAGGGAGAAGTGGTTTTCTGCTTCTTCCTCTTCTGTTCTCCAGGTTTTCTGCTCGGTTTCACGGAGTTCTCAACGTTTGGTGACTCTACACGGATAGATGTAGGATTTGATTCTGCATTCTCTAGAGTATAAAAAATGGTTTAATAACATCTGGAAATTTTAATAACTGTAATCATCCACTTAAACGCATATTGGTCATTTCTGGCTGCTGTATTCAATTAACGTCAAAACGGCTGAACCGATCAGGCCCAAATTTCTTGTGGGAACTCGAATGAACCCAGGGCAGGTTTAATGGACGGTCAAACTTGAAAAATCTTGCCCGGAAAAAAATATCGACATTAATTATAATTTAAAAAAAGCACAAATATGAATTGACTTTGCCACAAACTCTGATTTTCTAATCCTTATATCTTTGCAACCCATGATGTCGTAGACCTTAGATATTTCAAACTATTAATTCTAATAAATCAAATAATCTAAGTTTGCAATATTTAAGGTTTAAACCATTTCGTTGCAGAGATTTAGGAATTAGAAAATTTCAATGCAAAAAAGATTAAAATGGCAAAAAAATACCAAAAATGACCTTTTCATAAAAATATTGAATAAAATTATTTTTAATGTTTTGAAGAAAAGATATT